TGATCCCTATACTTCTAACAATTATTATGATTATTCAAATTTTGACAATTCATTTGACACCCCACCTTATCAATATCAATATTCAAATATTAATGACGAAAAACAAGAGTATTATGAAAGTGATTATACTGATAATCATGACCAATCAGATTATTTTTCATCAATAAATGAAAGAGATGCAAATTCTGATAACAACGAACAAAATTTTCAATTAGACTCACAGACAGACCAACAAACATAGTAGAAATGAATTCAGCTATTGTAAATTCTTTACCCTACATACAAATATCTAATCCACCTATTAAACTATTAATTGATACTGGATGCTTCACATCAATATTAAAACCATCTATAGCAGAAAACTTTTACCCCGATTTAATATATCACAACCCTTGTAATCTAAAAACATCCCTAGGTGAAAAAGAAATAAGATACAGAGCACTTTTACCCGCATTCCAAGATTTTAATAGTAACCACCAAATTGAATTTATCTTATTTAACTTTCACGAATATTTCGACGGAATTTTAGGCCTTAATGATTTAGTAAAAATGAATTTTTCAATAGATTTCCCTAATAAAAAATTATCTAATAATAAAATTGAAATTCCATTTTATTATAGGCAACCATATGAAACTAGGTTTACTTTTGAAATTCCACAACATGAAACACTTATAAAAGATTATCCTGTTAGTATGGATAATGGAGAAATTTTAATACCAGAATTAGTTTATGACGACTCCCTGTATATTCCAGAAACTGTTTGTATTGCAAAGAATGGTAGAGCATACTTTGAAATATATAACTGTAGTAACAAAACCATATCAATGACTTTAGATGAACCAATTTTGTGTTACCCTCTTAAAGAAAATTTTGAAATCTATAACTTTCATATCTCGCAATTTTCAAAGGAAAAACAAAATTCATCAAACATTAAAATTGAAAATTTAATAAGGACTAATCATTTAAATTCAGAAGAACGTAGTGAAATCATTCGTTTATGTAATAAATACAAAGACATTTTTCATACCAATGACTCAAAATTAACTTTCACAAATCAAATTAAACATGAAATAAAAACTCGTGACGAAATTCCTATCCACACAAAATCTTATCGATTTCCTCATATTCACAAACAAGAAGTTCAAAGACAAATAGGTGACATGTTAAAAAATGGCATAATTCGACCATCATCATCACCCTGGTCCAGTCCAATTTGGATCGTTCCAAAAAAAATGGATGCCAGTGGAAAATAAAAATGGCGTATTTTTGTAGATTATAGGAAACTAAACGAAAAAACGATTGACGATAGGTATCCAATCCCTAACATTGACGACATACTTGACAAATTAGGCAAATGTAATTATTTTTCTACACCTCATTGACCTAAAACCCTTTGACGACCTTGTTACACTAATTAAATCAAAAATTGAAATTGTTTACAGTTATCACGAACAACAAGAAGAAAAACATCTTCTCGGAGGCTTATTAAATCACGTAATCGCCGAAATAAAGCGTATCGAACAAAAATTACGTAACCTTAAACCAATTTCTAGACAAAAACGCGGACTTTTCAATATCATAGGTCATACCCAAAAATGGTTATTTGGAACTTTAGATTCCACAGACGGAAATGAAATTTACAAAACTATCAAAATATTAGAAGGAAACCAAAATCACATAAACAACATTCTAACAAAAAATATTGATCTAACAAAGCAAATTTTTGCTCAATATAATAAAACTGTTACCAATCTAGTTAATAACCAAAATTTGATGGAACATAAAATGAATGAACTAATTTCAAGAGTAAATAATCTATCAAAAATAGTAACTACTGACGAACTATTTGGTTCAATAGATTTAATGGCTTTCACATGTCAAACTGTAGATTCAATATTAGATAATATAGAGAATGCAATAATGTTTGCACAACTTAATATCTTACACCCATCTATAATGTCTGCCGAAAATTTAGAATTATTAATAAAAAAGATAAAACCATCTTTACCAAATTTTAGAAATGTTCAATCTTATTATAAGATTGCTAGTTCACAATTACATTATAAAGACGATAATATTATAATTGCTATACATTTTCCACTTTTAAAGAACTTAAAATACAATTATTTAAAATTGTTTCCTATCCCAAAAAATAACCAAATATTAATACCAAAAAAGCCTTTCCTATTGACCCATCCTTCAGAAGATTATTTCATGGATAACGAATGCCCAGAAATAGAGAATATTTACATATGTTACCCAGAGGATATCAGTGATGAGGAAAACTGTATATCAAAATTAATAAAAAACCAAAATTATACATGTACTCCATCAAAAGTCTCCATACACAAAACTATCATTCAAGTAATTAATCCTGGACACATTATAGTTATTCCAACAGAGAAAATTAGTATAAAGAAATCATGTATACAGGACGGATTCTCAAATATCAATCAACCAACACTGGTTACTATTCCCGAAAATTGTTCCATAAATATAAATGGACAAGAATACAAAAATGTTAAAACATGGACCTCTCAAGTACAATTTGACTTACCAAAAATTGAAATTTTTAATGGCAACAATCCAAAAATGGAACATTTACATCTACATGACGTGAACCTAGAAGAAATTTCAAATCTACAATCAAATTATAATAAACTAAAAGTAGAAAGTCCTGAACAGTATGAAAGAAAGTTCACCTTCATTTCAACGATAATATGTATAACAACAATATTCTTACTATTTATTGGATATGTAGCAATTATACATGGTAGAAGAATATTCGAATACCTTAACAAAGAAGCCAAAGGACAACCCGCAGTTACCAACGAGGACAACCCTGGACAGTCAACAAAGGTTCCACCCTTGTTTCCAATTTAAGGAGGGAGGAATAATGTTGTGAAAAAGTGCAAAGACAATCAGGTTAATACGAACCTATAAATATAGGTATTAATATGACATAGAGCAGTTCTGCTATACTTTTCATTGTATTCAACTCGTATTATAAAACTTTCAGAAATAAAGTTTTTTTAAAAACCAAGTTTATGAAACGATTTTCATCATTCGCGGTCAGAAGCTATAAGGGATACGTATAAAAATTCATATTCCACACCTGTGGAATATGAAACTCGTATTCTACGGCTGTGTAATATGAGTTACATTATGTACTTACTATCACAATTATAATACGTCTATTATTAAATAGTCGTAGATAAATTCATTTATTAATATCCTGTCGTATTTATAGCTGTGATTGTGTGTGGTTTCTAGCACAGGTATACAACCACCAGTACACAAAAAAAATTAAATTAATATCACAATAAAAAATTAATTTTTGGCGCTAACATAAACACACATACACGCATCACCATAACAATATATATATAAAAAACGATGAAGAAAAAATCATAACACGGCGAGGAAAATTAAAATTCGTTGAATCGTTGGTAAATTTCACAAACGATTTTTTTGTTTATAAACAATATTCAATAATTTAATAAAATATATTTAGTTTATTCCAATTTCCAGTAGGTAATTCGTGAATAGATATTTCAAAAAGGTATCAATTTCAAAAATCGTTCTTGTGAAAATCTGTATTTTTTATAAATGCATTGTTCCTTGAAATTCAGAAGTGCCAGGAAAACGCGTGACCTTGAAAATTTTAAAAGTTTTCGCCTGCGGCGCCATTTGAAGACTTCGGGCACTTGATATACCGGAATTCAATTCAACAAATGTAACAACCTTAAGCAGAACACATTCAATCAATGTTCACGCGCCGCCACTGCTAAACAGTCTTGTTTTCATCCAAGGAACCTGTGGTCAAACGTTGTCCGTCCTTTTCAGGGACACCCTGTATGTAATTCTTATACATATGTATAATTCTTATATTTACATATAAAAGATAAAGTATTGTTTTGGAAATGCTTATTTCTGTCATGACGTATGTAATCAGCAAAATTCTTTCGTAAACAAAATTTTACTGTTTGGTTAATCTTAATCTGATATAAGTAAAAGACGAACATAATCCCTGTGAATAAATTTAAATGTTATTCACGATATGAAATTTTACTTTTCATATAGAAAAGGAACATATTTCTTCATTTTCCATTCTTTTTGCGTAATATATTGCTTTTGTAACTTGCTTTTTTTATATAATATTGGTCATTTCTATGTCAGAAGGATGTTTAGAAAGTCTAGTTAAACAAATGAAGTCTAGATTATGCAATAAAATAAAAAGAATAGTAAATTCTCACAGAATTTAAAAGGAGTGTTTTTTTCTGATAACACGTGGTAGTCTAGTTATATTCGGGTTTTCGTTAAATTAAATATATAAAAATTAAAAATTGAATTGATGTATTAAATATTATATATTATATTATAAAATATTATATTAAGGAATAAACTATTATAATGTCTAAATGAAGATATATAAAGAATCAAGATCGAAATAGTATTATTGGATATGTTATTATTTTTATTAATTTAGGGAACTCGTATAACAATTGTATGTAAATTTAGTGATAATTGAACCTGTCAAATTTAAGCCAGATGTGATCTTCTGTAAAGCACTTCATTCAACAATGCATTTGATCACTGGAGTATTTCCAGAAACTGAATAAATCAGTCACTTTTACATAGATAATATTTTTAATTAGATACTGGTGAGCTATATAAGGTCATACATTTTTCTATATATCTATTTAGAATTGTTGCATTGGTGGTGAAGTAATCCAAAACCAGAATTCAACATGCAGAAACTTATTATTATTTTTGTCTTCGCAATTTTTGCTTATGCATTAGCAGGTAAGTAATAATGCATGCTTTTCATGTCTTATTAAAATCATGGTAAATGGGCACATTTCATTTTTATCTCCCATACAAATATGTAACATTAAAAAAGTAGATACAATAACGTTATAAATAATAAATAGTATAATATAGTATAGTATAGTATAGTATAGTGTAGTATAGTATAAAATAATATATAATAGATAATAAATTGACAACTCAATAGTTTCAAAATGTAAAGTTTAAAAATTATGTTAATTGAATTTTAACAATACTTTTTGTGTGCAAAAAGAGCAATCTTAGTTTACTACTATTTTTATAGATATTAGTAGACGATTGAATTTTCTGTCTCTGAACTTCCAATATATTTACTTTATACTTTACTTATAATATCCATAATAATAATTCTATGACTTATGGCGGAGTGTCTAAAGTATTTACGATCTACTTGTATCTACCTTGGATTTGATAATTTATCCAAGACTTACTAAATGTGGATTAGAGATAAGATTAATAAGATTAGAAGCTTACTTCAATTGACCTAGGTATTAATTATTAGAAATCAAGTAGTGTTAACATTACTTAATCTTACACTACACATAATTTCATTATTGTTTTCTAAATCATTAAATCAACCGTATTCAAAATAAAATGTGAGTGCTTTAGAAATTAATATAATATTACGTATAGAAATATTAGGTAAAATTTATTGAAACCTACTGTTGTATTCGATTACATTGCAATTTTGAAATTCACTATTCATTTAATTGTGTGTGTGTCCCACTAAGTTCGGCGAAGTATTAGAGAAAGTATAGGCCTTACAGCTGCGGGAAAAATTTTGATCAATAAATCGACCAAGAGAAATCGTTAGAAATAGTTTTCAAGTTCGTAACTCGGCCGCTAGGGGGCGTAATCTACACACCAAAACATAAAGTTGATTTTTTCTCAGAAATGTTTCCTATTCAGATATTAAATAGTACAAATATGGATAATCGGATTCATTGCGCATAACGTTTGTTATTGACATTTTGTTCTACCTTTCGACAGAAAGGGCGTGGAAAGCCCATAATGTCTGATCAGAAAAATACATTTTTTTTAAGGATTGGCTCATCAAAAGCCCATAATATTATACCTCGTTGGAAAGATATTTTCATGCTTTTGAAATTATTTGCGATAAACATTATCTATATAGCAAATAAATCTACTCATATGCACATAGCATACATATTGACTAATTAACAACATAAAAATATCATATTTAAGTAGTTTTAAATTATATTTAATGAACGCATAAAGACTATGTAGATGTGGCAACAGCGCTAATAATTGACTAGCAGTTGTACACACTGCGAACCTACAGACCTCGGACATCGGAGATATTGCGCGTCAAATTCGGGTAAAGATGCGTACGCGTTCAAAAATGTATTGTGTGTAAACTATGTACAATATAATTATTATATATAGCAAATATATCGTATTATCCTCGCGAAGATTTGTATCCTTTATTTAAAATCCGTAAATCATGTGAACTGGTAAAACAACGAGAATTATGTTAATTTAGTTCTAAAGAAATGAAATGACACTCGCGCCCATCTCTCGTCCAAGTCAAAGAAAATGTTGGATGCAATTTTGAAGGTTCTGTGATAGAAATTACATTATTACTCACTGTTCGTGTTTTTAATCTCTATTTTAGTAATGTTACAAAAGTTTTGCAACTATAACTAATTTTTTAGATATAAAGTTTGCTGAGAAATATTTATGTTCCTTTGTTATTCCGTACAAATGCTTTTATCTCAAGTATTACTAATTATATTAATCAAGTAAAGAAAACTTTATGTAACCCTAAATATTGCTGGGTAATGATTACGATGTTTTTATAAACCATTAAATATATTAAAAGGATTTATCAACTGTATTTTTTATTCCAATAAATATATCACAGCTTCCTAGTCTTTTTTAATTAATCTAGTTTTTTAAAAACATTACAAAAAATCATCTGTTGTGGATAATTTATTGTTGATAACAATGTACATGGGATTTAGGAAAAATGTATATGTTTGAAATCAATTTCGTTTTTATCAAGTCTTTCAAATGTATTCCCTCCTTGCTGTCAGCTGATTGCGACGTTGCCATATTAATCCTCAAGTCAGCCAGAAATGCAATTATTGGTTTCTGTTTCTAATTAATACAGCTGTACTTTGTTCAAAACTTACATTAATTTTACATCAAAAATAAGATAATACTCTGTACTATCTATGGAGTTTTGTTTTTTGTTTTGAAGTTTTGTTTCACAATTTCTACATTTTTTTCTCAGTTATGGGCAAATAAATAGCCGCACCGTCCATCTTCGCCGTATAAACCTATGTTAAAATGAACAACTTTCAACAATATCTCAAAATCTAGATTAAAAAAAGTATGACGCACTGGGTAATACGCTATATAAAATTCAAGTACATCTGTGCATTTGATTAAATCCGATATACCTCTTTAAACACGCAGCCGTCTATAGGTTTCCATATTGAGCTAAATGACATTAGCATTCACCAAGAGATAAAGCACGAAAGGCCTTTCCAACGAGATATAACACTATGGGCTTTTGATGAGCCAATCCTTAAAAAAATGCATTTTTCTGGTCAGGCATTAGAGGCTTCCCCGACCCTTTCTGTTGAGAGATAGAACAAAATGTCAATAACAGGAGTTATGCGCAATGAATCCGATTATCCCTATTTGTATTACTTAATATACATGAATAAGAAACATTTCTGAGGATTTAACTCTATGTTTTGGTATGTAGATTGCGCCCCCTAGCGACTTGAAAACTATTTCCAGCGATTTCTCTTGGTTGATTTATTTGTCAAATTTTTTTCCGAAGTTTTAGGGCCTATACTTTCCCTAATATCGTACCTCGTCGACCTTAATGGGACACCCTGTATACTGCAAATATGAAAAATATGAAAATACTATGACACCTAGTAAAAATATTAATTAACGTTCATAACTTTAATAGGACTATAATAGTAGGCCTTGCATGGAATTACATATAAGTTTCACGTTTGCCTTTATAATTGTCTATCGCGATAACAAACCTAAAGCTAAATATTTTTTTTTTTTCAATAATGCAACAATTATAATTTTCCTATACAATTATTACGGTAAGTTATATATTTCCTTTATTTAGCAAAATAGAGGTCAATTTGGTTAAAGAACTAAAGAGCAGTAATATTCGGTAATTTGTTTGAGCATATAATATTATTAAACACACCTTCACTGAATTTTAAAATTGGTCGACTTGAGCCGTTGTCAATTACTCCGATTAATAATTAATAAATACAATAAATGTTCACAATCTTAACATTTAAAAATTTCAAAACAATAATTTCAAAACAATAATTTAAACGGTAAAAGCAGTGCTATAAATGGTTCATTATATGGATAATTTCGTTCGAGTTTTTATTATCTGAATTATTTCCATCAATTTTCAAAGCATTTTCGTAGAAGACATTTTCTTCGACACCTTTTACATCAGTTGATTGCCATTACCTACATTTACAACTACCCTCTACAAGTCCAATATTACTCAGTCTTTCCTAAATCTGCAGGTGTTCGTTAGCAATCCAATCGTTAGCTTCTATAGTAACATGACCTATATTGTTTTATAAATTAGACACTTGGACTGGTACTATATAACTTACTACTTCTATGCCATAAGGTTGCAACATCGACGTTACATATAGTTTAAATGTCATGCAACGTCATGAATATGTGGCCTTAATCGTTATTAATTTGTGACTTTCTTTCCACCACTTTGAACCTCACCTTTCGCCCATTTCTGCATAAATGTTTTAAGGACGTAGCTAGTAATGCCGCAGGAGGAGTATGACTTCTGTAGGGCTGAGGCTGAGCCTGCTCTGGTTAACTCATCAGCCCTTTCGTAGCACCCACTAGCACTGGTACCTAGACAACACATTTTACCAAAGCATTTGCTTTCACGACTCATCTCCATTAATTCTACTACTCAGTATCCAATGACCATCACTTATGTCTGGCAAACTATAGTATTTGTTCATAGACTACTAATACTTTTCATTAATCTCCATATATTCTCATACTTCTGTGACTGACGACTTCGAAAGGGGTACGCTTTCTTCCAGTCACTGCGTCTACAAAAAGCAACCAAGATGGTTCTATCTACACTTTGAAAGTATTCTTGGAAATTTTCCCTTAACCATGATTGTGCAAAGAGTTTTGTTAGAAATGTGTCTACCACACAATTCTGGCGAGAGTACTGCACACTGTGAATAACCTCCATTTAGCTTTGTGATGGTAACTCCTCCATTTGCTCTTGTGTTGTGATATAGTTGTAATTGTAACATAATTTTATACAATATCCTTCATTTGTGGTGCATAGGAATTTGCATAACACTTAAGATATAAGATCTAATTTGTTTTTTTTTTAATTTCAGTTGATTGTCCGGCTGAAGACGGCGAAATACCCGTGTATTACCCCCATGAGACAGAATGCGGAAAGTTCTACGAATGCCATAATGGAGAAGCCGCCCTTCTTGATTGCGCACCTGGAAGTTATTGGGACTCGCGACAGAATACTTGTAGCAGTGAAGTAAATTGTGGTGATTTGCTGACTTCGACTGCCCCACCACCCACCACAGAGTCCGACAGACGTACAACAGACTCGGAATAATTTATAATAATAATATATAATAAAAACCTAAGTTTATTTTTTGTTTATTTTAATTTGCTGTCCCATTTATAATAATTTTGCAATTATTGTTTCTTCACACAGTTAGAGAATAATTGAAATAATATATCCCAACGGTTGATAATGCATAAATAAATTACGTTAATATAATTAATATACATATTTAGTTAAACAAAAAACGAAAATTGGTAGTTAAAGATGCTTAGAACCATACCTACTTTTGGACGTTTCCAGTTTTCCATTGTTTGTTGGTCCGTACTTATACAAAATATGTAGCTAAATTGATTAAATAATGGTAGTTTGATACTGCAAAAGTGATAATGCTACTTTAGAAATACAACTAAATAAGAGGAATGTTAAAACAAGAATAAAAAATGATATTCCGAACTAAATTCTGAAGATATATACTACACCAATTCATTAATTACAACTGTAAGGTCAATAAAGCCATGAATATACCTACAAAAAAATGCACATTATACTGGTTTACTTATACATTTTTCTCTGACCAATGAAAACGCAAGGATAGTTCTCAATGTTATAATTTTCTGAAGGCTATGAATCTATAATAAAGTGTGATTGATCATTTTTATATACTACCACCGACATAAATACAGCGTCTGTTGTTTTTTATACTAAATTTAACGAAATGATAGATTAGCATTCACCACAAATTAAAAAGCATAATTATCCACCTTGATTTAATTGTTTTATTACAATAGACATTAAAATAAAATTAATGTTTTGGAAACGTTTTAAAAGTACTGGTGACTTACATTTAGTTGGATCCAATCAATTCAAATGGGAAAGTGCCATTACACAGCAGGTTGTATACGTATATTCGATAAGTTGGAACATGGTATTTTACTCAATACTGGGTTGCCTCCTTCTTTATTAAATTTTTTATGTCGTATTTGTCTAACAAAACACAATATGTTGAACATAGTGGCTTTGTTTCAAAAGAGATAAATGTAACTTCTGGTGTAACTCAAGGTTCCATTTTAGGGTCATTTTCACTTAAATCTGCGAAATGCAATGTTGTAATTTTTGTAAACAAATGTATCTCCAATTATTTAGGTATGACTACAAGATTAATGCAATGAAATTAAATAGATGTAACTAAGGATGTAGGTGTCACTTTTAACATTAAATTAACTTTCAAATTGCATGTATATTATGTTATTAAAGAATTATACAAAAACTTGGGATTTGTTATTCGTAACTCTAAAGGTTTCACGGATGTTCATATCTTGATGTTACTTTTTAATATATTAATAAACAGTATACTTGAATATTCATCGTTGGTATGTCAACCTGGGTTTAACCAGATATAACAGGAAAATGTTCAGAGGAGTTTTCTAAAGTTTCTATGTTACAAGCTTGATAATCGGTACCTTGAAACAACCCAACGTGGCTTATTTAATGTTCCTGTAATTCCTTAAAAAATGATTTTCATAGTTCCTATTTTATATATTTGTTTTATTTATGTGTATAATCTATTTATTTGTTGTACCTTTCTGTTTAGTAATGTTTATTGAGTGTTTGTATTTTGTGTTCATATATTGGTGGGGCCCAAATAAGTGGACTGAATGTTAAAAAAAGAAAACTCACAAAGATCTGATGCAATTGATTTTTTTTCTTTTCCAGAAACGAGGGGAAGGGAAAAATGGAAATTAGTTCGACAAAACACTATTTGTGGTTCACTTAAAGAGTTAATCACACAAAGTTTCAATTTAGAAGGTGTGTATAACGAAATATCTAACAATGCTACGAGTACAAATACTGAAATAGTACTACTAACTTTATACATAAAAATAAAGAATAAAAAACTAATAAATAAATATTCGGTGGAATAGAGTAGATTTGTATGCACCCAAGAAATATATTTGCTACATGAACAGAAAAATGGTTACAAAAGTTGACACTGCCCCGCTTCCCAAATATTCCCCTCCTTTTTTTTTATTTATTAATGTAATCAGCGATTATGTTAATGGATTAATGGTTCGACTTTAAAGCAAAAGATTTACGTATTTATATATTCTTTCCCATAATCTAAGGAACTTTGTTATAGTAATAAGGAGAACGTGTTTTGATATTATAGTTTCTTTTTGACCATCTTAATTACAAATATTTACCAGAAATCTATTATATTAAGTATAAATTAAATTTTAACCAAAAGGCCACCTAGTCATGACGATGACGATGAAGATTGCGATGACGATGACGATGAGGATGAGGATGACGATGATGCTGACGATGGCGGTAACGATGATGATGGAGGTAACGGTGACGATGAGGGTGACGATGACGATGATGATGAAAATGATGATGATGAGGTTAAGGAAGAGGAAGGTGAGGACGAAGACGAGGACGAGGACGACGACGAAGACAACGACGACGATGATGAATTGATGATTACCATCACAGCTCGGCTAATGTTTTTGTTTAGCGACACTTGAAGATACATACTTTAAAGGGTCTTGTTGTATAGTTCGATGATGTTGAAAAACAAAGTTAAACGTTTCAAATGTGTAAAATATCTCAGAAATTTATAACTAGTTAACTTAAAATATTTCTAAATTAGAAATTATAATTTGACACTAATTTATTAACAAAAAAATAAGCATGTCATATCAAAAACGTAAACATCTTTTAAGATTGTAACATCAATATATCAAGTACCTGTGATAAAATGTTTCTGAAAAATAATACTTCTATGCCAGCATATATTTTTTACTGTGAATAATAACATACTTATACGTATATTGAAAATAAATTGCATAAATTACGGACAAAAATTTTAAACAAAATCAGTGATATCTATCATAAAGAAAATATATTGTTTAATCAGCTGTAGACAAGTTGAAGTGGTTGAGATATGTTCAAGGAGAGCTCTCAACTATTTGATTAATGATTTATTATAGATTGATATTGTTTCTGTATCTTATAACTCGTTATTGCATTTAACAGAATATGCAAAAAGCACTATAAAAATTGTTGAGAGGACTGAAGTACAATGACAGTTAATGCGAACTTAAGGAAAAAAAGTAGTAGGTACCAGACTGCAGGATTTCAACGCAAAAACGGTGGAGTTGCAGAGTTTATTTACGGAACATCCGGTATAAATCATTTTGCTAAACACTCTTTTTTTACCTTAACCGGTGGTTACATTAGTAGTCATCAAACTTATGTCGTAAGAGATTATATTTTTCTTAATTGTCAGTTAAACAATGATTTTGCACAGAAATATAGGTCAGTCTTCTTCCCTATTGGTTCATTTCATGGCAAGATCTGAATGGTGGCAATGTATTACTTTAAATACTCAGTCTTATATTTGATTGTAAAATTTGCTTATTGTTTCGAAATATACTGTATACATTTAATTTTTTTTCAAGTTCCCTTTTATCTGTTTCGCACTTAAATTTCGAAAACTCGCTTATATATTTTTTAAAAAGACTACCTACATTCAGAAATGCTTAATCGTTTTTTATTTAGTTTTGTTTTATATTCAAGGTTTTTGTCAATTTCATATGCTGATAAAATTGCACTGTTTTTAATTTCAGTGATTGTCTTTATTGATTGAGTGCTTTATTAGAAGTAATATACACATACCTACCTATTTTTAGGTATATATCGTAAAAAAATTCTAGTAATTTCAAACAAACTGATTTTTTCAAATCGGGATTTAATCCCATTCGAAAGATAAAGGGATTAATGAATTTGTATATATAAATACAACTTAACGGCGTTACAATCACTAGTTTGCAAGACTAATTGGTAGGAGAAAACCGTAAGAAAAATGAAACTCTTCGTCACTTCCTTAGCTATCGGTTTTGCCGTTATACTACTTGCATCTGCTGAAGGTAAGTTGAAATTAGTCTTATCTCAAATTTAAGTTCATAGTGTAGCGAAAGAATGTTGAAGGTAGGGAGTAGACAAGTATTTGTTGTAGCAATCTGATTTTATGGAAGATTTGGGGCAGTGTTGGCCCGTTCAAGGGGGTTGTGATGATTGAGGTTTATCGTGATCGTCATATTCATGATCGGTACCTTTGAAAGTGGGGGGAGGATGGAGGGGAGGAACACACAGGTTATTTCTAGAGCGTGAACGAAAATTAAGGGTAGTTTTGGGCCATTCAAGGAAGTTGCGATGATTGAGAAGAGTTGTGATCATTATATTTATGATCGGCATTCTCGAAATCGGGGGAGGAGGGATACAGAGTTGGTTTTCGGCCAATTGTGTGGGATGCGCGCATGGTTAGAAATTCAACGGACCTCAAATTTGGATTCAGTGGCCTCGAAAACAGATGCAACAAATACACTGTCAGTGCATTTTATGGTTAACATTGTATTAATTATTACCACATTTCCAGAATGTATAAGCACATTCATCTGATGAAAATATACTTAACACCAATATTCAAAAGGTACCAAAATAAAGAACATAATATATTATCTGTAAAACTGATATAAGCTATTCTAAAACTTGTTTTGAAAAAAAGCTTTTCTGTAATTATTATTTTTATATTTTAAATCTGGGTGATAACATTGTGTAGTTATTTTATTACGCACAACACAAATTTGACCACTAAATGATTACAATAGGGAATTCTTATATGAAGAGAAATAAGTTTTGTTAGTGAAGAGAAATTACATTAGTACCTCTATAAAAATTTAAATGATTCATTTTTCGTCTATGATGTTAAGGGCACGCTGATACTAGACACTTTGAAGATTGAAAGTGAATACAGATTTTGTTCCATTTTCCAAGAATCACTGATGTAAATTAAGAAGAGTCTAAGGATTTACAACTGTCAAATAAAGAGTTATTTGAATTTAAGGAAAAATTTTATGTATGGGTTTTGACAGACCATTTCCATTGGAAGCTTTTGTGCCTCTTTCGTAGAATGCACATTTCACAATTAAAAGTCCAAAATTCAACTTTTTCACAATTACACGGATCTAATTGTTTAAAAATTAAAGTGAAATAACTGGCTTCGGTTGACTCGTATTCTTGGATTTTAAATTTTTGTTTATGCACAAAATATGACAAGATGTAAGGAGTTCTGATTGGAAGAGGTTCATCCAAATCTGTAACAAAAGACTCCCTTTAATGTCGACTAACTTTCCTGACATATTATTCAAATAAGTCAGACTCCTTCTAATTTCAAGTTCAATGGTTATTTTGTATTCAGATTTTTCATGTAGGTAGTTACTATGAGGTACTGAATAAACCTTGAAGTCTATATTATTAATGAATGATTCTTGATTAACTTCAGTATCTTCTTTTGGTAATTTTGACTAGAAAAATCAGCTGTGAAAGTTTTTTACAACGTCACTATTATACCTTACACAATTAACTGCCCACAATAATTTTTCATGTTTCTTCAATAGCCATTGGAAATTTCGTCTGTTTCAGTCAAATGTCCAGAAATATCGGATGATTCCGTCTACTTTCCTCATGAGATAGAATGTGGAAAATTTTATGAATGTTCATCCCGTTCAGCCATATTATTTACATGTCCAACCGGAACCTACTTTGACCCTGAATTGAACATCTGTAACTGGAATGTGGACTGCGGAAATCTGTTAACATCTACTGCTCCACCAGCGACTACTCCTGCAAAGGAAGGGCATAAAGAATAACGTGTATTACCATTTTCGCATCGATATTGATCTGTGATGATCTGTAAGGCATGCCATTATATGAAATAAACTTATAAGTATGTACGGTGCGGTTTTTTATTTTAAGTGGGAAGAATAGAAAAAAGTTATGAGTTTAGAAAAATATTAATCAGGTTGTGTGAAGTTATTCAAAACTTTCCATCTATACTTTATGCTGATCCTAGTGATCAGCAATTTTTCAAGGCTTTATTTAGTTGTAACTCTAATCACCGCATTCAGCAGGGTGTCTAGATTCAGACAAGCTGAATAATAGCTTATGGTAGATATGATAAATTAAATTACTGTATATTTTCGTAAGGATAAAATGTGTTAAGATTGGCGATCAGATTGAAACAAATGATGAAACATATTTGTTTTCCATTTTTTTTGCAAAAGGTTAAATTTGATTTGCAAAAAGTTGCATTTGAAATATACAGGGTGTTACAAATGCTTCCATATATAAATTTAGCATTTTTTATTATTTTTATTTGAGGCCTCAATGTTAGATTTAGCTCAAATTAAATATAGTTGATCATGATGATGATCATTTCCATTTTATACAGTAAATTGAAATAAATAAGACGACTCAAATCTTTCATTAGCCCCAAAAAATAAATTAGCATCGACTAAATCGATGTCGCGTATCCACCCCCCCTTCCCTCCGTTCGCGCTTTGATATTTTAAACCAAAACTACACAAAATGTGTGCCGACTTAGGATAAAAATATATGCTAAATTTAAAATAAATATCTCTACTATTACCGGAGTTATCAATAAAATGATTTTTTAAATATTAATTTTGACACCCTGTATTTTGAAAATGGGTCTTCGAAATGAAAAGTGACATAAGAAAAGTCCCTTTATTTTAGTCCAAACAATATGTGGTTAACGGGTTGACCTACTAATTTGTAATACCCTGTATATTAAATATCTTAAATATGCTGTTAGCAAGGCTGTTGGAAAAAAAATTGAATTAGTTAAAGAACAAATATAGTTACTTATTAGAATGTATCTACCGAATTTTTAGTAAAAAACACTGCAACTATAATTTTATTTCAATTTTGAAAAAAAAGTTGAAGATAATGACTTAAAAAATACTACAAAGTGGTACTTACTATTATTTTCTTTTACTGACAGGTGATTGTCAATTGTTTTCTCATATGTAACGATATTTGTATTAATTTTAGAATTTTTTAATTTTAAATTAAATGTAATATAAATATAGAAGCTTAAAGAAAGTAATATGTGTACGTACCTGTATACGTATACCTACAGGGTGTGTTTTAAATGGAACACCCTGTATATTATTGCAATTTTTGGATTCTATGTCAATGATTAGGTGAACTTTCATAAAGATTTAAATAAAGTTAGAGCGATAAAATTTATAGGGGACATAACTAAAACTTTAAGCTTCTCTACCATAATTTCAAAATGACTTAATTTGGTGGTACAAATTTAATACTGAATTTAGTCAACTTTAAACCATCTTAACCTATTTTATAAATGTTCATGATAATAGACGAAATTTAGCTTCATGATAAGAACAGTGTTTCTTTCGAAAATTCCGGTATATATCACTTTGGTAAATAACATTACAAAAAAAATCTTATTTAAATTACTCTTCTAGCTTCATAGATGTTATTCCGCTACTAAAAAAAAGGAAGAGAAATATCAGATTTCAATTGTACTCCTATTATCTAAATTGTGAAATTATAAAATTATTTTATACCTCAACCCAAAAGTCATTTTACTTTTATATACTTCTTAATTACAATTTAATTGACAAAACTTTATTGATTTATCGAAATGTACTCTGTATATTTATATAGGGTGATTCAGAACTTATCCAAAAAAAATGCTGGATGTACAGGGGACCCTTACAAATACAATTTTGTAAAGAAAAAATCAAAAAGGGCAGTTCGAAAATGATATAAAAATACACTTCTGCACGGCACTGGAAACTGGTCCACTGTAAAACCTGACCTCGCACAATGCGACCGGCATGGCGGTGTGATAAAAACGGACAAAAACTTTCGCAAGGAAAGAAATATGTAAATA